GCTACTAAATGAATAACAACTTGTTTCCTCACTAATGCAGAGTTTGAGTCAAAGCATGTGGAAAACTTACCAATGGTTACAGGAACTGCATTGCACTCAGACATTATAGTTCAGGTATATTCTTATATATATTATATATTCTTATATATTATATTATATATTATTCTTATATATAGTTCAGGTATATAAAATTCTTTTCAGATTTTTGTGTTTAAATTGATGAGAGAAGGTTTTTTTTCACTCACTTTAAAGTTGCCTACTACATAAACTGACATATTCCTTCCTATCCTTTATAATTTAAAATTAAATTACAAGTTTTGATTGATAGGACCAACATGCCAGCACAGGGAAAATCATTACCAAGCAATATATCACTATATTATTTACCTAATAAATTTCAAGACTATGTTGAGGTCATTTCACAGTTCTGCAACATAAACTATTAGAATTTTAACTATACTTCATAAGAGCTGGCAAAAGCATTCTCAGACATGTTTATCTCTTTTTATATTCATAATTTTCTGACCTCAATGGCCAAAACACATTACTGTATTTATTATTGCAATTCTCAGTTATCAGAAAGACCAGTAGCTCAGGCACTTTGACATTAGAAAATGAGAATCATATTTTAACAAATACTGGTTCCATGATACAGTGGCATTATGAAAAATAGCAAGGCCTAGTTTGTTGATAAATCAGATTGTCAATGAGTTCTCAATAAAATCAAGTTCAATACCTAATACACCTACTATATGCATCCTAAGGCTATTAAATACAATAAAACCAGCTTCAATTACTAGGTTAGCTGAATTTTTCAGGACTGATCACAATTACAACATACTTCTGCTACCTTCATAAAGAAAAGACACATTTAGCTATCTTATTAAATGGCTATGCTGGAGTAAATATTGTTGCCTGCATCTCAGTGGTGTGCATTTGTACAAAGGATCATGAACCACATGAGGGTGACTAATTCAAAACTGAACAACAGAGTCCTTGTGTGCCCAGCACAGCTGGCCCTGCCTGTGTTATTTTAATCAGTCTGAAGACAATCTGTTCAGGAAGGATTCCGAGAAACTTTGTGTGCTCAGGTATCATTTCCCTAAGATATGAAGGCTGACCTAAGCTTAACACAATATTTACCATTTTCATATAGTAACTGACAGGAAAAATATTGCTTAGGCAGAACAGGTTTGCATTATGTCTTTTCCAGCAGACCAAGTTTCAAGAAGTGCAGAGAAAGACATGAATAGAGACAAACCAAGCAAGAATACAGGGCAGCAGGACCACAGTCACTTTACAGAAATGGCTCAATGTCCCAAACAGTCACACCATTGATTCTTTAAAGATTGGGAAAAGGTGGGAGGGTAGCTAATACACATGCCTTAACCTAAGCCTCCTTCCAGAATCAGGCAAGTTCCCAGTAAAAATGGGAATGTTTATAGAGTTTTGGTAGTTGGAATAATCATAGGAATGGATAGTTCATCTTTTTACTTCTAAGGTGACAAATTCTGGAATGGTGTTGTGTTGTATTCTTAAATTTACCTTTCAGATTTCTGTGGCCTTGATGATAAGTACAATCACAGCTGCTGAGGAGATTAAGATCAAATAAAACAGGTGGTCACACTGCAAATATCTACACAACCTTATACAGCTGAGTGTGAAAATGAAATTTGATTAATGGATGGTGCAGAGAGGAGCATTCACCCTGTCTCTCCTCAGTGAGATACACATCCACTTCCAGCTGTAAGGAGGCAAAATAAATCACAGTGTTTGGAGTGCCCTGGTGAATTTGAGGTATTTCCATGATCAAATTTTTTTTTTCACAGATTAATGGATTATTTTTTGGCTGCTCAACTACCACATTGTACTTCTCCAGACCAAATGAAAATACTTTATTTTATTTATTTTATGCACAGCATATGTTACTGGTTTGTTTTTTGCAACCATGTACAGGTGCCTTGTAACTCCATTTGCATGGCACAGCTCTTTGAGAACACAGTACTCAGCCCTATGTGCTTTTCTTGAATTAGGACAAGGACTGTGCTCTTTATCTGTTAGTCTTTCTATCTTCATTGTTATTCCAGCAGCAGGAATTAGTCTGTGCAGAGGAATATGGATCTGAAGGAACAACAAGCAAACAGACTGTTTGTATTTAGGTTCCTATTAAGGGTTCCTTAATGGACACCCACACTTAAACACAATGGATTTGCTAACATAAAAAAAGCATTTTTACTCTGTGCAGTATCAGCAAAGCTTCTACCAGCAAAATAAATTCCACTGATGTTTTCATAACTTATAAATACCTTTTGACACAGACAAACACAAATTATTTTTAGAAAACAGCCCCACACTCTGAAATGCCCAAGCTGCAATCAGGTTTAAACTTTAAGTTTACCTCAGCTCAGAGAAGCACAGTGGCTCCATAAGAGGAAGAGAACTACAAGCTGCAGGCACATACCTCAAGCAGGTACAGGGAGATGGCATTATGTGCTCATCTTCTGAAGTCCTGCTGCCTTTTGCTTCTCCCAATCTTTCTGAGACCTCTTGAAGACTTGTAAGATACAATGCTAAGCAATCTGAGACACCAGCAGTTTTACTAGAATGAGCTAAAATATGGCTTAAGGAGTAAGGGACCACTGCCATAAATTTACTTCCCTTTACTTTGATTGGATATTCTCTTTGTAACTGTCTCTACAGCAACACTTGCTGCCCTACACTGTGGGTATCTGTACAGCAAAGCCATTATTCTTAGAGTAGCAAAGAAAATATGCAAGATTGATGTTATACAGAGTAGACTTTTACTTCCAAAGCCTCAGGTTTGGGAATCTTTTTGATTCAACTTTATAAGTGCCGTGGGGAATACCTCCAAGGCCAAAAAAGAGAGAGGGGTGAATCACAAAGCTCAGCCTACAGCTTTTGTCTGGTTTGCAGTCCCCATCTCCTCTTCCTTCCAAGACCATGAATGTCATGCTGAAGTTCTTCTAACCCAAGTGGAATGCCAAAAACACCATCTACTTTCTTGTGACAAAACCAATATTTTATATTTCATTGAGCTTATTGTCAATGTGTGCCTAGAAAGCCACAGCTGGATCTTAAACAGCCACTTTTCCAAGTCAAATATATGCTTGTATGTCATATCCTTCAGAAATAATTAATACTAATATTCATGATGCTGAAGGAATTCTTCCGTTGGCTCCATCTGGATCACAGTTTGGTGATGTTTTGAGGCATAAAAATTCATACAGTTTTAGGTATACAAGTGTGAAAGTTATTATTAGGCTACTTTTTTTTGTACAAACCTTTTAAATACTGGGTGCTGTAGTCTAATTCTATGCTTTGTGGGCATCCGTTTATTATTTTTGGCTCTCCTGGCTTTTGTGTCTCTACTAAAGTATAGCATAAGATTAAAATAGAAGCACCAAAGCTTTCCCATATGTTGCTCATTATTTCCACCTCCATTCACTTTGATCTTTAAACAAAAAGAGCTCCTTCCGTTTCAAAATACTCTCAAATGAAAATATTTAAATTATTTTATTGCTTTTTTTCCAGAACCTTTGAATTTTTATCTTATCTGCTTTTCCCCACTTCATATCAGAAACAGAAATCATGACAGATTACAAGTACTCCAATTATTCATGAAGTAACATGCCTTTATGAGAACTATCTGCTTTAATTTTCCATGCTTTTGCCCAGAAGTGCACACCATGATAGCCATGAAAATTTCCTTCTTGACTGGCTGTGGTTAACTCAAACATGAAAATTCTGTTGAATATTTTTCTTTTAAGTAGGACTATCCATATTTCCTGTACATAAATTTTATATGGTTTCAGGTTACATTAACCACCTAGCTAGCTTTATTAAATAACAAATGATGAGTTCTGCAAAGGATGCATCTCCTCTCTCCAGACATCCTTTCCAAAAAGTTACTGAAGTACCAGGCAAATCCTTCTCACATTTTTCTTTTAATGTAATCTGATTGTAAAAGGAGAGCATCTTCCCCCTTCACCTCTTTTAACCAGACTACTCGCCATTTGTAGACATCTAAAAAATTGCAAATTATAGCTGACTCTGCAGTAGAAAACAAGTAAAAATATACATTTTCAATACAGGAATAATTCTATCTGATAATATCCTGTGTTGTGATTATTTGTAACTATTTACACCCAACAAGGACCTTCCATCCCCTCCCAAGTTTTCTATAAATCTTCAGATCCTCAGAATCTTTCACCTAAGACATTGCTCAGGCATAAGAAAAGCCACAAACTGTATTTCTAGCCAATATTGCTGTATAACCAGAACTCATTTCTTGATATTTATTTCTACTACAAAAAGACAGATTTTGAACATAATTAAGAATTTCTTCAGCCATTGAACTAGTCTTCTCTGAATAGGGAATTTTCTAGTCTGTCAGCTAAATGAACATAAGAGCACTCACATGTGAATAAACCCCACAAAATATAGAAAATGATACATTCTTAGACCCCTAGAAGTAATGTTATTTGAAACTATGACTGCATATGGAAAATAGGTCAAAGCCTGCACATTCATTGTAATTGTTTATTGGTATGCAATTATCTGAACATTACTTCTTCCTGCTCAGGAAAACAACAGGCAAGGAACCCATCTTCTTGAAGAGTTTACAGCTGCTATATGTGACAAGCAGATGAATAAGAGCAAGCATTTTTATAAATTCCTTATAAAATATTCCTGAAGTTGTGTACACTGTAACTTGTAGCAGGTGTGATATATTAGAAGAGGCATATGTGGAATTTGCCACTTAACCACCTTAGTCCAAGAAATTCCAAAGGAATACTTAGAGAATTTAATCAAAAAGTCTCATTTTCTCTACAGAGGGAGTTTAGGATTTTAAATTTAGCTGTCTAGTTTGGTTCCTTGTGCTAGGCTTTGTGAATAATTGTCTATTACTCACACTAGGTTGTAAAAATTAATTGGAAATGATCTTCAAGAAGATTGGATGAATGACCATGAAATCTCACCTGTATTTTGTGCAGGTAGAGTTTTGATGTGAAGGATCTGTTGGATTAAGAGTGATTCTTGGCGAGACCTGAGCTGATAGCAAAAATCCCGAAGCTAGGATAATGAGTGCTACAGCAGTACCTAAAAATACAGATAAAGAACAATGTGACACTTTTCTCCAGACACATGAAATAATTCTCTATTGAATGAACTCTGCTTGGGAAAGCAAGGCACCCCATCACTATGCATACAGCATTCCCTAAGGAGCTGTGATAAGAACATAAGAAAAATACCCTTTGCTACATCCACATCCTAAATTAGGTTAGATATTAAAGTCAAATGCACCAGCTTTCATGTCCAGATACTAAATTAGTAGGTTGAGACTCTTTTAATCTGTGGAATTGATGACTGCTTGAATGAACAGGTATTATTATTTTTGATGTTGAAAATAATGTTGCAAAGGTAAAATTTATTAGTGGTTTTGAAATCACCATATTTTCTCCACTCCCACATCCAGACTTGCAGGCTTTTCTGTAAAACAGAAAGTAGCACCAGCTTTTTCATTGACTCTAGTTCCCTTTGTGAAACTAGAGAAATTTTACTTTTCGTAAGAACACCATCGAAAAGTGCAACATATCTTGTTTCAAAGAGCACACATAACATCTGCTGGGAAAAAGTCCCCTTCCATCTTTTTGCTTCCATTTCCCCCAACAAATACCTTGTGCACAAGCTGGACAAAATGACAAGAGGAAGATGACAAAAAAGGTTCACATTTTGTGCAACAGGCCATTACTGGAACATAACTCATATTATTTGCCACAAACACAATACACTGTATCATTTTAATGAAAATTAATAAACCTCACTAATCATGATACTACTGCAGCTGCCTCAAACTCAGACTTTTAAAACTTCACCTCTTGCTACTCGATGACACATTGAGATCTGTGTTGCATAAAGGTTTCCTAGCTGGCAAACACACCAGAAGTATGTGAAAAAACACACCAAAGTATGTGAAAACCTTTCTCAGAAATAAAAATAATATCTGAACATTTGTAAGATTTACATAATAAGGCTATCTGTGAATATGCCTGTGCAGCAGCCACAGCCAACAGGCAGGAATGGCTGGACCACACATTGACCTGAACTGAGGTAACTAAAAGAGCTTAAACTCAGTCACAAACCAAATGTGCAGAAAGCACCTTCCCACCATTAGATATTCCATTCTTGGCTCTCTTCTAGCTATGGCTGGTAGGTACACAAATAATCCCAGGTTTCAGGGCAGGCTGGATATTGCACTAGATGTCCTGTACTTTCAAAAGTACATGAACATGTATGTATGTGCCATAAACCAGACAGCAAATATATTTAGAAAGGGTCTATAATCTATTTGTTCTAAATATGCTCTGTGTTGTAAGTCAACCAAATACACTAACACTCACTTCCAGTATCTTTGTAAGTATCTTGTTTCTTTGGAAAAGTACTGAATATGTAAACTTGGCAAAGGAAGTTTAATATGTTTTCATTCTGTGGATGTTTTTCTATGATGAACAAAATCAAACAATCACAGAACAGCATTAGCTCAGGTGGGAAAAAGGAAATATCCTGAAGATATTTTAGACCCCCTCTGTTACAAAAAGAGATACAAATTGTACAATGCTCAAGTACCTTTCAAATTGACAATTTCTGAAGGGAAGGAAGAAAACACAAATAAAATTAATAATATACTTGTCAGAGTTCCTGCATGTTTTCCAACTAACAGCTTTGAAGAAAGACATTAACTAAAGAAAAAAGCAGAAGAAAAATAAAGAAATTATACAGATAAGATAAAGAAAGATATAAAATGGACAGGAAACTGAGACAAATCAGTACTTGTAGTAAAGAGAACTAAAACAGCGGGATTTTTTTTCAGAAATTTAGTATAATTTTTCATAATGTTATCTGGAAGGTTCCATTTTTCAAAAGTTTCTAATATTTTGAGAACGATAAAGACATAATGAAATCTAAAACATCTCTGCCAAATGTTTTCAGAAAACAGGAGAAGTTGCACAAGATTACAAAATTAAATTACAGTATATAGGCTTTTAATCAAAATATTAATGTTACTCTCTGATTATACTTGTAGGTTTTTATCTAATAAACATCTAATCAATTAGGTTTTATTTAAAAAAAAGCCCCACATCCTTGCAGCAGCAAGCAAAAGCAGTAGTTTTGTCTTCATTTTATGCACTGGGAGACTGGGGCATACCTGGCTTCCCCAAAGACCAGAGAAGCTGCCAGTAATAACTCAGTGTAAATTGTAATGTCCTTAGAAATGCAAAGCAAAGTAGAGCTGTAAGATATGTTTACCCCATGAGAAAACTCAACATGGAAAACAAATCCATCAGTAGATTTAGTAATTATCATTCTATTACACAGCCCTCTTGCTAAGGAAAACACATCATATCCACCACTACCTAAATCAAATGTTGCATGACAAAATGCTAACTAGTACAGAGGGATGATGTATGATTTCATGGCTGTCATTATTTGTATTATCCTTAAGGAGGGACTGTAGGATAAAACCACAGTGAGCATTAGAGCTTGGCTCAAATGATGCTGCAGACAGGCAGCCAGCAACCAGCCACAGAAAAAGACCATTTTTACTAAAAAATTACTTTGTGTCCAAACATCATTAACAAATAACTCTTTAAATGCATTATGCTCCATGGTTAATTCTGTGTCTTATTGCTATATCTTCCTCTGATCCATGACTAACATGCTTTGTAAGAGACATTTATATCTACATTTCAGATATACAACCTTTGAATATGTTAAGCAGAGCCAAAAAGCAAAGAGCTCTGATAATAAGTCCGTGTTGGTTACCACAGCTATACAGCTGGGTCCAGATGAGCAATAAATTCTTTGAAGGGGTTGGTCAGACTTCTACAATTATTGGGGCCAAGTAAAAAAATCAATCAATCAATCAATCAATCAATCAATCAATCCTCTGTTTCAATAGCCATGAAAGGAGAGGCAGCACCCAAGAATCAGAAGTGTCAATGCAAGGCCTGGAGAGATGCACACCACAGAAAGACAAGACAACAGACTGTCTGGAGGCACAGAAGGACATATAAAGGAGATGCAACTGATGTGGAACAGACTTAAAGTAGCACTTTGAGATTTTTTTTCATATCTTTAAAATGTGAGAAACATGCTTTGAGTAACTGTGTACCAAACAACTCATGTCACTGTGTTGTTGCTGCTCTGCCTATATAAACACATTCAAATACTCAAGTGCAGATTAACTCAGCTGAGAGCTGGGAATTGCACATCCAGTGACATGGCAGCTGGTGTCCCTCTCTGCTGTGGTGCTCTAACTAGAAACTTGGATCCTTGACAGCAACAGCAGAGCAAAATATGAAGACATGAAACCTTTACAGCTAAACACTTGTGAACGCTATTTCAAGAGGAGCAGGAACAGTTTCTCTTTACAAAACCCTGCTCTTGGAAACATCTGAACCTTCCAGACATTCAGCCAGAGGCAAGTTTGGTCACAGATCAATTCAGGAAAAACGAGCACAGAAGGCAGGAACAAGCAGGGAATTACCATCCTAACATGACACACTGAACACAGGAAGGCTGCTCGCTCTGCCTTTCTCTGCTTTCAAGAAACGACTAAGTGATGAGTTACCGTGTTCAAGTATTTGGACAAAATGTACAAAATCACAATTCTGTCTTTTTGGATCTCATATTGGAGCTGAATTAAAATCACATTAATGCATGTAAGGTATTTACTGCACTGTCTCTGAGGTAACTATGCAGAGAACTGCATTACTCTTTACAAAGTCCTGCAATGGCTATGCAATATGCTTTCTCTGGTACACCTTCATCAGATGGTTCTGAATTCCAGTTAATAAGCCCAAAATTATATATGAGATTTAAAAACTAACCACCTGTGATGTTCCAGGCATTTGATTCCTTAAACTGGAAAAAAAGGCTAAATGAAAACATTGTAAAACATGGCTTCAAGGAAAAGTCACCTGAAAAAATAACTGGCTGTCACTTTTAAATTAGCCTCTAGCTGTGGTATTTCACTAATAGGCTTGAAAACATGTAAGATTTCAGAGAGAAGATGACATCAACATTGTAATTTTAAAGTTGACTAATTTGAAAAATACTGCACTTGAAATTTTATTTTCCTTTAATTATGAGGAAAATATAACACCCTAATGAAACACTCACCTGTTAAGCTACCAAGTGTAAGTTTCCGGCGACCCATTCTTTCAACAAGCCAGACTCCCACAAGAGTAAAAATAAAGTTTATAAATGCTGTGAGTGCAGCCAGCCAGATTGCAAGCCTGTCATCTTCCACTCCTGACATCTGCAAAATGGTAGCACTGTAGTACCTGTGAAGGGAGGGAGAAACAAATAAGAACACTGTTTATTTCAATTTAGCTCATGTTATAGTTTCTGATTCAATTTGAAAAAGAAGATAACAACTATCAAGTGTGACCTCTTGCATAATGCAGTTGAAGACTGACACACAATCACCCTGGGAAATCAGGCATAACCAAGGCATAACTTGCACCTGACTAAAGTTTTGACTTGAGGACATGAAGAGATGAACTGTCATTCTCTTGGTTTATATTTTCAACGGTCAATCACATTCTGCTAGAAATGGGGTTTGCATTTTTAATTTAAATTAATCTGCCTTTCATATTCATCCATTGCTTTTGCTCTTTTTGGGATTTTAGCAGTCTGTATATTGTCTAGGGAAAGACAGCTTGAAATCAAATAGATTTTCAGTCCTCTTAAAGGTCATACAGAACTAATCTACAGCATCCAATGTGTTGCAAGTGACACTTGCATCCTCCTGGTTTTTGGTCTTGCAGTCTTATTTCAGTGCCACTGAGATGCACAAAACCCTCTCCATGGCACTGCTTTTGTCTTAACCAAAAAATGATTGCTTTGAAATGCCTTAGCACCACACTGCAGGGATGTGAATCTGCACCCAACAGGAGCATTTGACAGAATGTTCTCCTTTCTAAATGGAATCAATTGTTCCACACAAACAATAACTCATAAAAAATTGAACTGAGCAAAATGAAAAGAGAGGAGAGTGGAAGCCTTCTACCATTTTTCACAGCAATCAAATGAACACAGACTTTGTGCCCATGTTCTTAGGGAGAGCTAAATAAATGCCCAAGGAAACATGACTACTTTTGTTGATGCTGTAGAAGCACTTTTCAGCTTCTATTAATTTATGCTGACTGAAATACTGAATACTCAAACCCTCAAACACCTTGCAGTCAACACTCCATCACACAGAAGTAACCATCAAGAATGTCAAAGCTTATTTTTTTTTGTCTCTGGTCAATATGTAGCTTGCTTTATGTCCCCTTGTTGTCTTAACACCCAGATGTGCTAGCCTCAGGAATACTAGCAGTTCCCATTCCTCTATTCCAAGCACATTCTGCTTTTTACTTCAAATCAACAGCCCATGATGGGGCAATATGCTGAGATGCCATTTAAGACACTGCCACCCATACTGACCATGACTATGCTGGATGTTACCCCCTCACCCACAAGACATTTAGATTCTCCCAGCCCTTTCCTCAGCTCCTCCTCCCCAGTGCAGCCATGGAGGCAATGCCCACACAACCAGCTGGTGGAGCAGCACAACAGGGCCTCCAGAGTGAACCTGCTGGCACTGGGGACCCAGCACCTACAGGTGGTTCTGAGCCAGGCTGGGTCAATGCCCACCCCTTAGAGACTGCAGTGACTCACCCAGGCTCAGCTCCTGTCCCAGATCCCAGCCAGGCTGTGGCTCTTGGGGAGGGAAGATTCATGTAGGAGAGACATCAAAACATTAATGTGTCCTCATGTCCTAAAGGCACCCTAAATTCAATTGCTAACTGCCTGTCAAACCTTACATAGTACTGCACTGTTTCAACCACCAAAATGACTCAGTCTCTGATTTCCCAACACACATTTCTTTTTCTGCATAAGGGTAGGGAAATAACAAATGTCAAGGGTTGGCCTGCTGACACCTACTATGAAACTCCTATTTACTTCCAACAGACAAGGTTTCAGGAAGCCAAATTTAACTCCACATATCTAAATCTTCTTAAAATCCAATTCTACTGGGAAGTCAGAAATTGCCAGTTGTCAGCAGCAGTGTATAATGTACTGTCTATACAGTCAAAAAAAAGGCAAAGAATAAGAAATCACATAAAAGCATGTAGATGTCTACTGCCTAATCCCTACAAGAATGCACCTTTTGCCCCCATCATTCCTTCTGGTTGCTTATTGCACTCACAGGTTATATATTTTCAAATAGAAGCCTGCTGTTTATCCATAAGTAAACAGCATATTTCATTTCTGTGGAAAACAAACCAGGGAACTTCAAAATCTGGAAATCCAAATGCCAATATACCAAAGCCTGGGTGTTGAGCAGTGATGTTCATAGTTATTACAGCATAGCAACTTATTTTCCAAAATTTAAAAGGGAACTTACATTGATTATAACAACTACTAAATATATTTGCTTATGTTCACCTGTTTTAATGTGCTCAATTTTTACACAAGTCTGTGAAGCCCTGCCTTTATATTAATGTAACAAAATGTCAGTCTTTTCAAGCTCTTCCTGACAAGGGAAAAAACCTACATGGTAGGAAAAGGTTAAATTGTGGTATTATACAAACACAGCTAATACTGCAAGTCCTGCAGGGAATACAGTTTCAGTGACAAAGTTGTGCAATCCTAGCTTATTTTCTAAAATGTAAAGAAAATTTAAAACACAGGTGACTCCTTGGAATTTTTAGGCAAATATTGTGTCTTAGAAAGCAAATAAATACATGCAAATACAAAGCCACACAAAATAACTGAGTTGGATATATACAGAAAGATTTTTAATATAGCTGATTTTTGAGGATGTCAAAATTATTATGTCAAAAATAAGAAATTCAACATTATGAATTGTTAAATCAAAAACTGCAGTACACTGAAGAAAAATTAGCCTGAAAACACATCCCCATTCAAGCCTCCTCAGACTAATCCTTTGACTCTATACTGAAAATGCACAGTTGTGAAGGAAATAAGGCATCCAAAAACACTTTCCCTCTATTTTTCATTTAATGAATTGGGGTTTTTTAAAAGCAACAATGTCGAATGTTTAAAGAAAAGGATAATTTCCTCCCTTCAAGCAGATCTTACAGCTCTGGATGCATCAGAGTTCCCAGCTTAGCATCTTCAGCAGCAGAGAAGCTGCTCACCATGCCAGGCTTTGCAGCTCCCAGGGAAAATCACTGTTTGCCCACAGGGTGCCATCACTGCTCTGAGTGTCCCCATCTTCCACAAGATGCTGCTCCAGCCCACCTGTCATACTAAATCCACTCCAACAAAGCTTCTGCCTCAGGATTTCAGCCTTTTTGGACAGAATTTATAACTCTCATAAAAGTAATAAATAAAATCTAAGGCTCTCTTTACAGAAACCTGAGGAGCTCTTCAAGGGAAAGGCTGCCACATCATCTCTACGTCTGTAATGGATTTTTCAGAATCAGTACCTGGGAGGCAGCCTGGGGAGCTACCACTATACACTTAAACTAAATTAAACCTTCAAATCCCCTGTTTGGCAGTAACAATGTACTGTGTTATAAATGCCTTCAGCATTGACTGAAATGACACAGTGAATGCCACTTACTACAATCAGTATATTATGGTAACACAAACAGAGAATTTAGTACTGCTTGACAGGTAACTACATACATCCAATAGATTCTCTGATTCAGCATGTGTTATTCATGTACAAAGTACATGAAAATGATTTTAAAATTACCATATAATTATGGTAATTAAGAAAACACAGGATTTTTGGTTTTAGTGTCCAAACAGACTAAACTCTTTAGCTATTAAGGAAAATAGGTGTACCAGTGCTTGACAGGGATTAAAAACCTTTAGAGGATTAAGATCACCAAGATACACAAAGAAATTCACTTCCTTAAGTTACCACAGTACTGTCACACACCTATTGGGTCATGTGAAAATACTGTTGCAGTATCTGCCGTGAGATTGAAAAAAAATTCCTTTTTTTTAACTTATTTGCTCTGCACCAGATACTTCTTAGCCAACAGTCAGTGTCCTTTTCACGTTCACTTATTTCACCTACTCATGTGGGTCCTTCACAGGTCTCCCCTGAAACTTTAAGGGACAGAAATTGTTTTGTTCTTCATAACAGAAAAATAGTAAAATACAACGAGCTGGATCTATTTATGAAAAGAAAAAAATATTAGGCAAGAAAATATTACCAAACTATCTATCAGTCTGCAAAATAGTGTTCTGTATTTTTTTCAGACAGAATCTGTAGTTAAAATCCGCTGAAGAGGTAGGTTGAATTTACTGAAGAGATAAACTGGAAAGTAATAGGCAGAGCTGAAGATGAAGATGAAATGAAAGCACTGGAAGAAACAAAGTAATTATCATCCTCCTTCTCTTCCTAAAACAAAGATCAGTTTCCAGCACAGAAAAAAACAGGTTGGAGTCCATAGCACTTGTATGTTTTGCACTACAACAAAAAGCAAAGTAATATCAACTTTTCCACCTTGTCTTTAGTGCCTTTACTCAGTATATGAGTGCCCAACTCTTCATCAGAACCTTTATGAAAGAAAATCACCACTGCCATCCCTGTTTTATAAATGGAGACCACTGGGGCTTTTGGGAGAGAGGAGGAAGAAGAATGACTATTTGCAGTTATCCACCAGTACTACCTGCAGCAGAATAATGACACTCCAGAGTCTCAATGCAGATAAGGGCTGTCTGCAAACTACTGAGTATAAAAGCAGGGAAAGAAAATCCCCCAGGTGTTTTACAAAACATACCTTGTTCAATTATTCATTTATTCTGACAATTTCAGTTAAATTTAAATTAGGTTTAATATATTCCAGGGTATTCTAATGCCTGCTGTAAGTTCTCTGAGATCCCAAAAAAATGAAATCAGTCCTCATTAAAATCAATAGACCTGCAGAATGTACATAGCACTTAAAAAAAAAAAATAAAAGAAAGAAAAATCAATTTAAAGCCAAGGCCAGCAGCAAACAATGGGAAGCGTAGACACAGCAGTCTCAAAAGAGCCAGGAGCCAGCATGCTTAGAGCAATGGGATCTTGAAAGGTAGGTTTAGATTAGATATCAGGATCAAATTCCTTCCTGTGAGGGTGGTGTGGCAGTGGAACAGCTGCCCAGAGGAGCTGTGGACACCCCACCCCTGAAAGTGTTCAAGGCCAGGCTGGGTGGGGCTTTGAGCAGCCTGGTCTAGTGGAAGGCATCCCTGCCCATGGCAGAGGGCTGGAACTGGGTGGTCTTTATGGTCCCTCCAAACCCACACCATTCTATGATTCTGTGCTTTTCAA